CCTGAGCCATCTGCAGGCTCATTCCCACCACGCCCTGTACTCACCACCACATAGATGGGGAAGGTGCTCCTCGGCCTGAAGTCCTCCAGCCGGCACAGCACGGGAAAGACCTTGTGCTTCCAGATCTCCACGGAGATCAGCTCCCCAATGAGAACAGGAATCTAGACAGGGAAGGGATGGGGAAGTGAAGCCTTTCAGACCAGGGCAGCAGGGGGATCCAGTTGGTTGCTAATGGTCAGCCACACTGGAGTCACCCAGGGAGGAGGGTGGCCTTGGGGCACTCTGTACTCTTCCAGCTCACAAGAGAGCAGCTTCTCACAACAGGGCAGAGCTCCTGGGACTGCAGAGGGGAAAGGTGACCCCAAGGAGCTGGGCAGGTCCAGGCAACCTCACAGCCTGAGACTGGGACCCCTCAGGCATAGTGCAGAGACCTGCAACCAGAGGGACCAGTGTGTCAAGGAGACCAAAACAACCTCCAAGAGAGAAACCAGACACCAGCAAGTAGAAATACCATAGCTTGACCTTTAATTTTTTTAAAAAACAAAACTGGCACACCACCAATCAAACATCTCTTCCAGAGACACAACAGATTCTTCGGCACTTTATTCCAAAATTGCACAATGCCCACAGGGCAAGCCCAGCTGGAGGCTGAAGGCCCAGCATGGGGATCACTCCTGCACCCAGGGAGGCTCACCTTGGCATGGGTGACCAGCAGCTCGATGAGGAGCTGCTCCTGGCCTGCTGAAGCGCTCAGGATGCCGTGCATGTTGAGCTTCTCCACGTACTCGTGCTGCCGAAGCCACCTGAGGGCAGCCAGGAGGACAGCAGTGCCACAGAGCTCTGGTGGCTGGCTTGGCGAGGGTCCCTCGTGCAGGGAAACCTGCTCCTGCAACCCCCAACCCCACGCTGTGCCCTGAGCCTGGGGCTGCAGCTCCACTGGACAGCCCTGCCCTCCTGGCTGCGCCCCCAGCACCCTCACTGGGGACACCACAGAGCAGGGGGAGCCTCTCCATCACCCCTACACCCTCACAGACACTCAGACCTGGGACCCCTCCTCACCCTGGCCCCTCCAATCTCCCCCAGTCCTCGCAGGAATGCTCCAGAATTGCAGCCCCTTCTCTCACCCCACCCCACCCCTCTGGGGTCACCTCAAAACCAGGACTCCTCCTCTCTACCCAAAACCTTCTGGGAACCCCTCCTTACCCCCACCGTGACCCCCGGGAAGGCCCCAAAACTGGGCCCCCTCCTGTGCTCCCACAGCCCCAAAAGTGACCCCCCGCATTTAAAGTCCCTCTTTCATGTTCTCCCCCCATAGACACGCCATTGCCGTGTCCCCGCACCCCTGCCCGCCGACGTCCCGGAGCTCGGAGCCCTGCAGGGCTCGCACCAGCGCCTCGGCCTCGGCGGGCGGCAGCGGCCCGGGCACGGCGGCCATGGCGTCCGCGTCGCTGTGGCAACGGCGCCACCGCCACCGCCACCGCCCCCGCCCCTCCTGGGGCCGGAGGACTCGCTGCGGGCCGGCTGCAGCAACGGCGCGGGGCGGCCTCTGGTGCCCCCTGGCGGCGCGGAGGAGCGGCCGCACCAGCGGGGCGCTCCGGGGACACGTGGCGGGGACAGCGGGGGACAGCGGGGGGACACGGCTCTAGCGGGGGCTATCGCTGCGTCACTTCCAACACACGATGATGTTGGGGTCGTTCTCCAGGCGCTCATCCAGCTCCTTGTAACTCATGCCTAGGGAGTAAGACAGTGGGGGGTCAGAGGGCTGGTGTACTCCCCAAGTCCTGCCCCCGGCAATATGGGCTTGGCAGCCTGGCTGGGAGAAGAGCCTGGCCCACAGTCCCTTCTCCCTGTAGTCTGAAGGCTCCCAAAGGGGCAAGAACCCAGGAGCAGTGCACAGCTGTGGGCAGGCAGACACCCCCGTGTGTCCCACCGGCCCTGGGGCTCACACCGAGCAGAGGATCCCGTGGGTCCCACGGATCCGTACCGGTCTTGCAGCAGATCTCGTCGTAGCTGTGGCAGCCCGTGTACAGCCGGGCTGGGTGGCTGCGCTCGTCCCGGGCCACCTTGACAGGGTATTTCTGGAGCCGCCGGATAAGGCCCTTCATCAAACCAAACTGGATGAGCCTCCTGGGGACGAGGAGGGAAGAGACTGAGACCACAATGCCGAGGTGCCAAATGCTCCAGCTCTCCACATTCCCTTCTGTTCCATATGCCCCACCACTGCCTCACGTTTCCTACCCTACACACAGAGGGGTTGAGTTCCTGCTCACTCTCTCTGCCACCCCCAGTGTCACCACTGCCCTTAGGGACTGATCAGGAGAGCTCTGACCTCTCATCCACCCTCTGGAGCTGCAGGGTGTAGCGGGAGATGAGGTCTCGCACGGTGGTGCCAGGGCTCAGCCCGCAGTACAGCTGGAAGACATCCCTGAGGCTGGCTCGCTTGTGGCCTGCAAGGACAAGTCACCATTCAGCTGCCCTGTCCCCCAGCCTGGGCCAGCATCCCCAGGCAGGGTCACTGTACCTTGTTTGGTGACATAGGACAGACACTCTTCCTGCAGGCACTTGTCATCCACCAGGTCCTGGACCTTCGGTGTGGTGCAGTAGACATTGGAGTACTGGAGGATGATGGAAAAGCAGCCCTGCTCAGCTGTAGCTCTGAGACAGGCCCAGCCCACTCCAACCCTGCTGTTCACCCTCCCAGGCACTGCCCAAATCCCGCTCCCAGCCCCACGGCCCGACCCACCTGGAGTATGGAGACAAGTGTGACAACCCCGTAGTACCTGCAGATGGACAGGGAAAGGTGAGAGGTGCTCCCAGGCAGCACCCCCCTCCTGGGGCTGAGCAGCCCCTGCAGGCACTCACAGCAGGTTCTGCACGGCGATGCGCACCAGGTTCAGCTCCACGTCGGCCTCCGCCGAAATCTTCTGGACGTGCCGGAATCCATCGATGTAGGGCAGGATCTGGGAGGGCACGAGGTAACAGGGCAGAGAGCAGTGAGGCATCACCCTGAAGCCCACGCAGCTCCCCTGGGTCTGGGATGGGCAGGCTCCATCCCCAGTGTGCTTCAGCCTTGTGCTGGTGAATGATTTGCTCACAGGCCCAAGCACAAAGCCAAGGGCAGCACCAAACCATGGACATAAACGTGGGGATCTCCAGGACAGCCCAACACCCCTGATGGTCTGGAAACAGATCCCCTTCAAAGCGTAAAGCACACGGACCTGCTGCGTGGTGAGATCCCACTGAGAGTTGAAGAAGTCATCCTTGTCCTGGGTGAAGACAGGGACATCGTACTCCTGCACGATGGGGGGGTCTGGGCGCTGCTCAATCACCTTCAGGTGGATGGTGTTTGACTCATCTGCCCGGGACAGGGAACGCTCAGTCTCCGTGCAAAACAGTGCTCCCTCAGCAGCTTGCAACCATCAATCCCAGGACACCACAGTGGCACACAGAACAAGGTCTTTGCAGCCCATAACCCCATCCCACACGTCCCTTGGAGCCAGGTAGGGCAAGGCTGGCTCAGACACCCCCAGCTCCAAGCACAGACAGGCAGGGAGCTACAGGGAGCAGCACAGGCAGAGCCAGCCTGGGCAGGGAATGGCCCAGCTGTCTCCCAGCATGGCCCTGTCCTTGCCATACCTATGGGCAGGGTGCATTTCCCTTTGGCATTCAGCTCCTCCAGCAGGATGGTCATGATGGGAACCAGCTTCTGTTTACTCTCCTCGTTGGAGATGAATCCACTTTCCAGCTGAAGAGAGCAGAAAGTCAAGTCAGCTCTTCCCTACAGGATTACTAGCTACAGGAGCCCAGATCCTGTTCTCCTTTAGAGCAGAAGTGATCTGTAGGAAACCAGCACAACCCCCTCCTCACTGTAAAACCAGCCCGTCCCAGCAGTGCCCAGCGGCCCCAATGCTCCAGGACCCTGCTGAGCTGCCCACGCTCTGCGGGGCGGATTGGGAGGCAGGCTGGCCGTGCCCAGGCCTCACCTCGAGCGTGGTGAGGTACCCAGCCAGCTTCTTCACGATGGGCTCCAGCGCGCAGGCCTTGGCTCTGGCGTCGCACACAAAGCCCAGGTTGAAGAGCAGAGCGTTCCGGCTGTACTTCTTGTGCTCGATGCACACGGGGCAGCCGATCAGCTTCTTCTCCATGGCCGTCCTGTGGGGACACCTGCGACCTGCACCTACACCCTCAGGGAGCCTCGAGTTCCCCGCAAGGATGGCTCCCAGCTGGCTCTGCAGGTATTGGCTTTATATTGCAGGAAAAATGATGCCTAAGCCCTACACGCTCAGAGTGCAAATCACAGTCTGAAGGGGGAGCGGGGAGGAAAGAGTCAGCCCTCAGAAAAGGAAACTGTCTCCTTTGGAAACCAGCACAGCCCTCCTGACTGCTCTGACTTTCCTGGATTTAAGGCTGGTGGAGCGGCAGATGCAGCACCAGCCACCCCGCAGATGTGACCACCCACCCTCTGCACGGCTACCGGGGGCACCGCAGCCGGCCTCGGGGCCGGGAGCCCGGCAGGGCCACACCGCCGAGCTGAGCGCACCGAGCCGGCGGGCCCGGGGCAGGGCCGGGCTCTGCCCGCACTCACACGGTGATCAGCTTGTTCTGCAGCTCGGGCTTCGTGATCACGTACACCTGGATGGTGTCAAACAGCTCCCGGGAGATGAAGTCCTCGGGGACCTGCGGCGGCACAGGAGGCTCCGTTCCAGCCGAGCCCCGTCCCTCTCCGGGAGCACCCACCACCCCTGCCCTGCGCCCGCCCCGGCCCGGCCCCAGCCCCCCGCCGCGGGCAGCGCCCCGGGCCGCTCGCCCCGCACCTGGTAGGTGATTTTGGGCCCCAGCGTGGGGTGGAACTCGCTGAAGAACACGCACTCGATGCGGCCACCCATGGCGGAGCGGAGCGGCCCGGCACCAGCCCCGCCGGCCACCGTAGCGCCGCTCCCGCGGAATCACACGGCCGCGCTCAATATGAGGGCGGGGCGGGCCCTCATATTGAGCGACAGCACTTCCCGCCACTCAGCGGCGGCGCAGCGCAGTGGGGCGGGTCTTAGCGCTGACGGACAGCCCGCCTCATCCAATCGGAGCCCGCGCCGCGGCCCGGCCATGTCGGCAGCGGCGGTTCCGCCCGCCCGGCCAACATGGCCCTGACGGCCGAGACCGAGTCCCGCCTGTACCGCTCGCTGCGCGTGGTCTCCGGCGCCGCCGCGCACCTCGTGGCGCTGGGATTCCCCGCCGCCGTGGCCGTGCTGGCGCGGCCAGGATCCAGTGAGTGCCGGCGGGGCCGGGGCCCGGGGCGCGGGGAGGGCCGGATGTCTCAGCTCACCTCAGCTCACCCTGCGCTTCCCTTGCAGGTCTCTTCTCCTGGCACCCGCTGCTCATGGCCCTCGCGGTAAGTGCCGCTGCCCCGGTCACCGCCCCGCTGCCGTGGGGCAGGCAGGGGCCGTGCCGGCGGAGTCCCTGGGTGGTGGGTGCCGAGCCCCGGGAGCCCCCGGCTGATGGGAGGCTGAGCCCCGGGCGGTAGGTGCCCAGCCCCGGGAGCGAGCAGCCAAGGGCAGCAGCTCCTCGGCGGTGGGTGCCCAGCCCGAGGAAGGAGGAGAGAATCCCCACCATGCAAAGCCTGGAGCTGGCAGTGCTGGAGCACCACCATGAGGGGCCGGGTGGCCTCTTCCTGCCCAGTGTCCCGTCCCCTTCTACCCAACAAACTCCTCACCAGCCCTGGCAAGCTCCTGCCGGGGCCGGGGGAGGCTCCCCACGGGAAAGACATTTGGAAGAGAAACCCACCAGCCTTCTCACTGCCTCAGTTAAGGACAAAACTACCTTCAGAAAGGAGAAAGTAAGTGTTGAGTGCTCTGGCCACGGGAGCCCCGGGCGGTGGGTGCCCAGCCCCGGGAGCCCCGGCGCAGGGGCATTTGGCCGGTGCCAATGCCGCTGCCCTCTGCCCCCAGTTCTCGTTCCTGATGACGGAAGCGCTGCTGATCTTCTCCCCGGAGACCTCGCTGCTGCGCTCCTTCTCCCGCAAGGTCCGAGTGCGGGTGCACTGGGCCCTGCAGCTGCTCGCCCTGCTCTGCGCGCTCCTGGGGCTGGGAATCATTACCTACAACAAGCACCTGAACGGCAAGGGCCACTTTGTCACCTGGCACGGGCTGACGGGGCTGCTGGCCGTGCTGTACACGGGCGGGCAGTGCGCCGGCGGCGTGCTCCTGCTCTACCCTAAGCTGATGAAGAACTGGACGCTGGCCAAGCTGAAGCTGTACCACGCAACCTCAGGGCTGGTGGGCTACCTGCTGGGCTGTGCCAGCCTGATGCTGGGCATGTGCTCCCTCTGGTTCACCACCACGGTGACCGGTGCCTCGTGGTACCTCGCTATGCTGTGTCCCCTCGTCACCAGCCTGGTTATCATGAACCAGGTGAGCAATGCGTACCTGTACCGCAAGCGCAGCCAGCACTGAGGGCTTGGTGCTGACCTGAACTTCCCAGAGCGAGCTGGGTCTCCCCTTGGAGAGAGCTGGCAGCCCCCCTGCTCGCACAGGGTCTCCTTGGAACTTGGTTTCTACCTACTCGTCTTTCCTTAGTCCTGGATTGTCCGTAGTGTCTTGTCCCTGGGGAGCAGCCGCTCCAGATGCGTGTGACACCTCACCCCTGCCTCAGTGGGGATGCTCCCTGGCACAGGTAAAGCTGCCAGTCCCTGTGGCAGCTTGGTGCTCAGTGCTGGGAAATGGAGGGCTCACTCAGGATTCCTGCTCCTTTTCCCTTCCCACGCAGGGCTGCTTCGGAGCAGGCAGGCCAGGAGCCATCCTGGTGAGGAGGGCAGGGAGTCCCTTCTCTCCCGGGAAGCTGCAGCAGGCACCACGCTGCCTCTCCTGCCACGGGGGCAGCTTGACAGGAAAGCACAGGGCACGGTTGTGGCTTCAGCCCTGGCAGGGCTGGGGCAGGGTGGTGGCACCCGAGCAACGGTACAGCAGCACGTGTGTCCCCATGGCACGGGCAGTCCCTGGGATCAGAGCGGGCAGCTCTGCCCCAAGGCCCTGGGTCTGGACGCCCAGTGCCACGCACAAACCCCTCCTCCGTGGGCTGGGCTCGGCCTGCTGGGGTGGGGTCAGTTTACAGAGCAAATTACTGAGCTGGGCTGTGAGCGTGCAGCCAGCAAGTCATAGGGAACAGTGTGAGCACAGCCGGAGACACAGACCTGGGCAATGAACCCTTGGGAAGGCAGGAAGAAACCTCCTTGCTGGCACAACAGCGTTCCTTCCAGCACGCATCCTGCTCCCGGCAGGGCTGGAGAGCTGGGAGCGGCTCCCAGGCTGAAAAATTCCTCTGTATCCAGAGCTTTTATTCAATAAAAATTTCAGGCAGCTAGAGTGCAACAAGCCCTCTTTACTTCTTGGGTGGGATGACTTTTGGGGTGCAGGCAGACATCTCTCCCTGCTGGGAGCACCTGGGAAGAAAGCCCCTCCCTGGTCTCTTGACAAGAGCCCCAGGGGCTGCTCGGGGCCGGGTCCCCCACCCTGCCCATGCTCTGCTGCAGGAGCCAGCGCTTTCAAAGAACTCTTTATTGATACCCAAATGTCTGTGTTCTTCCCATTTGACAAAACCTTCTCATGTGGTCCTTTAAAAAAATAATCATGACACTGCTGATCCGCATCCCGGGCTGGGAATTGCCCACTGGATCAGGAGCTGTGGAGGCTGTTGCAGGGAGCATCCTCTCCATCCAGGAAAAAAACTCCATCAACAAAGAGGGAGGGAAAAGAAAGGGGGAGCCCATATTCTACCTGCAGGAAAGAAAACCTGCTGCCAGAGGAAGCAGCTAGAGTCCCACTGTAAAATTAATTCCAGCTTCTAGTGTAATCTGGCAAACGGATTAGCCGGGGAGCAGCCAAGGGCAGCAGCTCCTCGCAGGGGGAGGGGGCAGGAGAGGAAGGAGGAGAGAATCCCCACCATGCAAAGCCTGGAGCTGGCAGTGCTGGAGCACCACCATGAGGGGCCGGGTGGCCTCTTCCTGCCCAGTGTCCCGTCCCCTTCTACCCAACAAACTCCTCACCAGCCCTGGCAAGCTCCTGCCGGGGCCGGGGGAGGCTCCCCACGGGAAAGACATTTGGAAGAGAAACCCACCAGCCTTCTCACTGCCTCAATTAAGGACAAAACTACCTTCAGAAAGGAGAAAGTAAGTGTTGAGTGCTCTGGCCAAGCCCTGGCACAGAGGAGAAGCTGACTTCGATCCCACGAGGGCCAGCACAGCGGCTTGGGGCAGGGATCAGCCCCGTGTCCCTCTCCCAGAACAGCCCCCGCCGCCTGCAACGACTCCACGGCCTGCCCCGGCTGAGGGAGTGGCTCCAGGAATCCCTGTCCTCACGGTGGTGGCAGTGTCACTGTCCCGGGTGCCTGGTGCTGGCCGCGAGCAGCAGCGAAGCGTTGGAATGAGGTATCCCCCTGCCTGTGCCGGGAGGAGCCCCCGCCCCCGGGGGACGCGAGGGGGATTAGCAGCTCTCCAACGGAGACAGGGCGGGAAGGGGGCCGCTCACAGCTGGGCCGGGGCGTCCTGGAAGCTGATGAGGTTGGACTCCTGGCCAGGGCTCTTCCCAGCCGTGCCGGGCTCGGGCAGCAGTGGGCTGTCAGCCTTCGCTGCTGCTGTTGCCTCCTCCTCCTCATCCTCCATGCTGGGCCAGGCTGACTGGTCCTCCACTCGCTTCAGCCGCTCGTTCAGAGCCTTCAGGGCCAGCTGCCTGCAGGACAAGGGCACGTGGGCAGGTTAACCCCGGGTCAAGGGCTCTGCCCCACGGGGCACTGTGCCAGTCAGTCCCTGGCTCCTCCCCAGCAGGAAAGGGTGAGTAGTGCTGGGGAAGACCTGGAGTGCCTGGGACTGCTCCACAGAAATCCACTCCGGCTCTCGGACTTCTCACACGGAGTTTTCATGCTACGTGGAGGCTGTCAGCACAAGGGCAGCTCCGGGAATGGGGAATAAAGGCATAAAGCAGGGCACGGAAAAGGGAGTGCCAGCACCCTGTCCAAACCCTCTTGCCAGAAGTCAGGAAGGCCAGTGCTGGCTGTGCTGGAGGGCTGGGGTGTGGGGCTGACTCACTGCCCTCCCCTGGGCCAGGGTGAACTGGTGGAAGGCTGCCACGAGTAGGGGTTGTCACTGTCCCAGACTGTCCCCCTTTCTTCTGCAGGGACCCCTAACCTTGTCTGCCCCTTTCCCAGGGTCTCCCCTGCCTTTCCATTGCTGCTCCATATCTGGAAGAGCAGAATAATGTCCCACCAGCTCCCTGAAATGCTCCTCACCACCTCCGTGGCAGACCACATGCAGAAGGCCCCTCCTGCACCTAAATCTCCCCCCTCCTCCTCGGCTGGATTTTAAAGTGTACCCTCGCTGTCCCTAAACACGATCCCCAAGGGCAGGGCAGGGCAGGGCAGGGGTACCTTCTCCTCTCGGCGTCCTGGGGGTCTGTACCCGGCAGGCTGATGGTGATGGAGGACGGGGCACCCACGTCGTAGCGCTTGACGGTCTTGCGGCACAACCGGACCTTCACCAGCACGCTGTGCACCAGGTTGGCCACCAGACCCACCACGGGCTGCAGGATCTCGGGGAAGAAAGTGGCGAAGGCGAAGTGGTCGCTCATGTCTCCGCGGCCTCTACTGTGCCGCTGGTAGAAGCGCAGATAGACCCAGCTGGAGAGGAGCCCGAAGCCGTACGAGGCCAGTACATTGCTCTCGACGAGGGCAGCGAGCCGCAGCAGAGCCAGGAGCAGGAGCAGGAGCATGGGGACAGCCTTCATTCTGACCTGAGGCACCTTCAGTACGGTGCTGTCCCCCATCGTCTGCTTGAGGGCCACCAAGACCCCCCCGAGGAAGCCCAGGCCGCCGTGGATGCGGACGGCGAACAGATAGTGGAGGTGGAAGGAGGCCACATAGGTGAGGAAGTAGGCGAGGGCCGCCAGGAGCCCCACGGAGATGTTCACCACGGCGAAGAAGACGAGGAGCTCCAGCGCGCCCCAGAGGGGCTCCAGCAGCCGCCCGGCCGTCCCCAGCGTGGCCAGGCTGGCCGCCAGCCCCCAGGCGCGCTCCTCCACCAGCCCGTGCGTCAGCAGCGTCCACACCCAGAAGTTGGGGGGCAGGAGGTAGCCGGGCGTCACCCCCAGCCCGTAGGCCGTGTCCAGCCCGAAGGAGAGCAGGTACAGCAGCACCACGGCGGCGCTCAGCGACTTCACCACCACGCTGGTGCCGGCCAGCGCCGCCAGGAAGTGCTGCCGGGCCACCGGCAGGTACCGCCGCATCTTCGGCCCCGCGGGCGGGACGGGGCGGCCCCGCGGGGGCTGCCCGGCCCCACCCGCCCGCCTCCCCGCGCCGGGCCCCGCGCAGCCCCCGGCCGGCCCCGGTGTGTCCCCCCGCCGCCGCCGCCGCCCCGGGCCAGGCCGCGCTCGGACCCTCTGCTGGGCCAGGCCGGGCGCGGACAAACAGGGCCGCTGCACATGCGCGGAACGGGGGCGACGGGGCGGAGCTGCCGTGGGGCGGGGCCAGGGCGCCGCGAGGCACGTCGGGACTTGTAGTCCGGCCACGTTGGCAGCGCGGGGCGACACCGGATACACGTCCGGGGGACACGGGGTGACACGGACATCGGAGGACACCGAAACGGGAGGACATGGGACAAACGAGCGACACGGGCGTGGGGGAGACGGGGGGGAAGACACCGACACAGGGGGACACGGAGGGACGTGGGGGAGAGAGGTGGCAGAACACGGTCATGGGGTGCGCACATGGGGGACAAACCCCGGGAGAGGGGGATGTGGACACGGGTGGGCTGGACACGGAGCGCACTAGGGGACAGTGACCCCCTGCAACAGGGCGACACGGGTGCGGCGACACGGGCATGGAGTGGGGCGTGGGCAGGGTGACAGTCCTGCGGGGGCACAGGGAGATGGGGCTGAGCCCCTGCTGTGCCCCAGCCCTGCCGTGAGCCCACGGCTCTGCGGGGTCCCTGTCCCGTGTCCCTGCCCCCCGAGGTGCAGCAGCTGAGGGCAGTGTCCCACCTGGCAGCAGCCCCCCGATATCCTGTGCCCCCCCATGCTGTGCCCCCCCAGCCGTGCCCACGGCCCCGGGCAATGATGCAGCCACCGCCTGTGAAGTGAAAATATGAACATTATTTAATAACTGAGTCTCTGTAATAAACCATTTGAAAATATTTTACAAGGAGTCACACGCACGATATCTTACAAATTGTCTTTTTGTTGTTTTTTTTTTTTTTTTACAGAAGGGTTGGGAAACTAAAAAAAAAAAAAAAACCCAAAGAAATTAAAAATAAATTAAAGAAAATCAATTAAAAACCCAATGCCTTTGAATGAGCAGAGAGAAGCTTTTGGGTGGGGACAGGGCAGGAGGTGACCCCGGCGGGACGGGGGGCCCGGGGCCACGCCGCCCGTTCGTCTCATTGGTTTTTAACTTAAAATAGACTATATATGTATATATTTATAGGTATGTATAGTGGTGGTTTTCTGGCAGAGCACCTAACTAGACTACAGAAGTACACACACTCCCGGTAACACAGAGCCATCTGTTCAAACACGGTTCCCAGAGACAGTAACCAAACACACACTGAAAAAGCTACAAGCAGAATGACCATTAATTAACCCCAGCACTAATTAGCGCCTGGCGCCCTCCCCAGGCCCCCCGGGGTGGCCATGCCGGGAGGGCTCCCCTGGACCCGGTCGATGGGGTGGCTCTGAGCGGGGTGCCCCGGGGGGGTGAGGGTCCCCAGGGCTGCCCAGGGACCCCCGGCACTGCCGGGAGCGGGGGTGGCACCCCGGGTGTCACAGCTGTCACCCCGCTCCGGGCCCCGCCGCACCTCTCCTGGCCGCGTTTGTGGGGTGCAGCGGGCTCTGAGGGGTGCGGGGCAGAGCAGCCGCGCCGTCCCCTGCTCGGATTGACTGGGGGCAGCCCCCCCGGGATGCCCCGGTGTGAGCCCCAGCACCGCTGCGGGGCCACCTCCTGTCCCGGTGCCCCCGGGACGGGCACGGCCCTTCTGGGGACATGTGGCACCGCCCGCTCCGCTTGGCACTCGAGCACGTGCGGCACGTCCCGCGCTGGGGCGTGTGGCGTGACCCCCGGGACACGGGGACACGGGGCATGTCCCCCGGGGACGGGCAGCCCGGCCCGGCCAGCGCGGCCGCTTTGGCAGGGCAGGGCCCCGCGCAGGGCTGGAGGCGGGGGCAGGGTGAGCGGGCAGGATTCACAGTGATCTGCAGAACGGAAAAGAAACAAAACACATTTCCCCCCCTCCTTTTCACCCCAGTATCTGTGCCCAAGGACGCTGAGCCCAGCGCAGCGGCCGGGGCTCCCTCGTGCCCGGCAAAGGCCACTGTCCCCGAGC